AACTTTTCACATTTGCGACTTCTTCTCAAGAACCACTGGGCCAATTTTGACCAAACTCGGCTCAAAGCATTCTTGGGTGAAGGGGAATTTAAATTGTTAAAATGAAGGGCCAAGTTTCCTCACAAGGGGAGATAATTAAGAAAAGACAAAAATAGGGTGAGGTCATTAAAAATCTTAATCTCAAGAACCACTGGGCCAGAAAAGCTGAAACTTATGTGGAAGCATCCTATGGTAGTGTAGATTCTAAATTGTTCAAATCAAGACCCCCAGGGGTTGGGTGGGGCCACAATGGGGAATCAAATTTTTTAATAGAAATATATAGGAACAAATTTAAAAAATCTTCTTCTCAAGAACCAATGGGCCAGAAAAGCTGAAACTTATGTGGAAGCATCCTTGGGTAGTTTAGATTCTAAATTGTTCAAATCATGACCCCCGGGGGTAGGGCCGGTCCACAATGGGGAATCAAAGTATGACATAGAAATATATAGGAAATCTTTGAAAATCTTCTTATCATGAACCACTGGGCCAGAAAAGCTGAAACTTGTGTGGAAGCATTCTGGGGTAGTGTAGATTTCAAATTATGATCAGTGGGGTAGGGTGGGGTCACAATATGTATCACAAGGGGAAAATCTGGTAAAGAACAGAATGGTCAAAGCTTCTCAGGTGAGCGATGTGGCCCATGGGTCTCTTGTTAACATCAGCTAGTATTGAAATTTGTTATATTCGTTTTATAAGGAATGTACTTAATAAGAAACTTTTACTCTAACATTTCAGCATTACAATTTCAAAATGTTATAATCAACTGAAGTTCTTTTGTAAAACAGGCCCCTGGAATCCGAATAAAGACTTTGTTATAAGAAATGAAAGCACCAGGTATCTATACTTTCTGTTAATATTAGAAATTGGGCGGAGGACCACAATCAATTATCCTCGTGTATTGGCTTGTCCATTTAATGCATAAAGAGAACATAGTTGTTTGTTATGTTGTATGACAATTGTGATAAAGTAGTTTTAATTTTGATGTGAAAAAGTCGAACTAGCCCTGGCATTGTATATCGGGGTAGGGTTGATTCCTTTCCGTTAGTTCATTGCTGGTTTTGTTGTATTGAGACATGTCTTTATACAATACGTTATTACATATCTTAATTATACATAATATTCTAATGTAATTTATACATGTTATATGATAATGTCAATTTGATTAAATAAATAGAATATTTTAAATGCAACTAAATCACAAGATACACAACATGTTGTGACGGGGGCAATATCGCCATCAAACGGTGTAGCAACATCTTTTTTTTAAGGGGGGTGGTCAGCCAGAGAAAAAAATGTAAACCTTGAGAGGCAAAACAAAAAAACCCACGAAAGTTCTATTCCATGTGAGTGTTAGAGTTGCAGGGGGGGGGGGGGGGGGGTAACAGGCACGAAGATTCAGAGAGAGAGAGAGAGAGAGAGAGAGAGAGAGAGAGAGGGAGAGAGAGAGAGAGAGAAGGCTGACTGCCCATCCCCACTTTTATTCAGACATAACTTTTTTCCTATAGAACATTGAAAGGCGGGTTGTCCCTCCCTTTTTATGTTGTAGTATAAGGAAATGAGAGAAATGCTGTATGTGGGAGTGAAAAAAATGATACTATAATGGATACTGTAGGATTTATGAGTTTAGGCCTTTTTTTCCTTCTACCAATCAGATCGAAGGTTTATGTGGCGCATAGCAGAGTCAGCTGAGTTCAGTAAAACGCAAAACATGTGCTCATATAATGTCAGAGACGCATAATCACTTCCATTCTGAATACTTAAAATAATATTTGAGGAAATTCGTGAGAAATTCCGTGTTTTCTTGATAAACACGTGTCTATGACAGGACCTTTTGCTCTTTATTGGGAAAATAACATCGTGAAATTACAGAGATATCTCTCAATTTAAAAGGGATATCTTTATAAAATTGAGAAATCTCAAACTCTAAGAGATATCTTTTTGAGAAAGAGATATCTCTTTCACTTGGAGAAATATCTCTTACATTTTTAGAGGTATCTCGTTCACATAGAGAAATATCCATATTCTCATTCTTTCTTCTTGAGAGATTTTTCTTTCTTTTAAAGAACATCTCTTAACGTTAGCAAGATATCTCTTTTTCCTTGAGGGGTACTTTTCCAAATAAAAGAGATACTGGTGTATTTCTCAGAGTAAAAGAGATATCTTTCTAAATGTGTCTTCAGAGACCCCTCTCAATGTTAAAGAGATACAAAAGAGATATCTCCCAAGCACGAAGATGTGCCTCTTTGATGTAAAGAGATATCTCTTGCTTATCATTATTTAAATAGCATTTTTAATATTTGACTTCTCCCTTTACCAACAATAAGCTTTCTATTCACAGAAATTAAAGCATTAAAGCATTCTTAAAAATCGACCTTTTCTACATCAATGTACATTATAACTTAACTATATATGACACTTAATCCAGTAGTGTCTAGATTTACAATTAGAAACAGTTGAATATTTCATAAGCTGAGATATTTCGGTCAATTGCAGTTGAGATTATCGTTTACTATAGTTTTCCTGAATATAAACCTTTAGCACGTTTATCAATGTTTGCATTATCTTTTGTTGTTTTAAACAAGGGGCTTAACATTTTCTGTTTACAAAGTACATGTAAATATTTTATTTTAGGGAATAAATATTGAGTCTTTTTCCCATTGCAGCGATATTATTCCAGAGACTTCTTCCTAAGTCGGTATGTATGAAAAGGGGTTGAAAAATCCACTTTATTTAAGGTTCACTTTAAACGAAATAACTTTCATTAAATTAAAAAGCCGTCTCTTTAATTTAGAAATATATCTCTTTAACCTTCTTAAAGAGATATCACTCTAACTTTAAGGAAGTCTCCTCAAGAGCAAGAGATATCTTATTTTCTTTTTCGTTTTAAGAGACATCTTATTTTGTTTAAGGAGATATCTTTAAAAGACATACTAAAAATATCTCCCTTTATTGTTTTATCTCTATAAGCTAAAGAGATATCTCTCTTATTGAAACAAACTGAAAGATTTTTTTTCACAAATAAACTGTATAAGGGCTTATGTGTTGTATGTGTTATGTTGTGTAGATTCTTCTATTGTTTTATAATTTATGGTAGTTTTATACTTATAGAATGTCATGGAACATACTGTTATTGGATTAGACAATCTTATATGTGATAAGACTAAACAGTTCCTGTTTGTTTTGGTCAAATGTCTTAAAATAGATTTTGACTAACCTGTGCTATGTTGGCACATATATAAACGTGTAACTGAATTTCTTTGCAGTTTTAAATTAAGAAGAGTGTGACTATTTTATCTGTGTTCTACAGCATAATCATATATGTACACGGGTAAGTTAAAACGACTCTTCTTTAGATTACGATCGATTTTGTGGGTAAAGGTTAGGCATCGTCATATAAATTTATGCATTCGTTATCTTATAATCGGAGATAAACTTTTGAAAGATGGCTTTGTCGTCATATTAATGATAAAAAACGGTGTTTGTATTTGTAAGTTCCTGTTTGTTTTAGCTCACCTGAGCCAAATGCTCACGTGAGCTGGTATATATCTGCACCCCCCCCTCCATCCAACACACACACAGCTACAAATACGCAAATAGGCCGTCCACCCGTATTCTTATTTACTCCGATGATCCCTGGATTTCTTGTATCAATGAAAGGCTCATTGACATAGGGGATTTATAGTGACACAATAAACGTTCAAATGTAAAATGAATATATAAGAAGAAATCTTTTAATTAAAAATTCTTCAGAAGAACGGTAAAGCTATGATTTGTGATATTTACATGCAATCATCCTTAGGTTAGTAATGTTGATTTAATTTTGTTCATACAATAGCCCTCAGGGCGAAGAACAAAAGGGTCGTAGTTACTCAGATGAGCGTTGTGGCCCATTGGCAAACTCATAGATACTACCTACACTATATGAAGTCGTAATGACAATTCAACATTACTTACGTATTACATGTGATACGTTAGAACAAATGAAATCTTATACAGACATGAAATCCCACTGACCAGAAGTTGACATATCTTACAGGAAATAAAATGACCAGTAACAAGGATAAAACGACTGCTATAGTGATCGGTGCCGGTATGAGAGGAATAGGCTACGCCTACTTTCAAAATTGCAAACCTAAGGAATTCAAGGTAAACAGACTCGATATTATATCATTTTATTAATTCAGTTTAATTGTGATAAACAAAATTTTGTTTACAGTTTATAAATTTAGCAGACATACCCCAAATAAATAAATTATTGAAAAAAAAAACAAAAAAAAAAAAACCCGAGATCAAATTTCATAGAACTATAAGTAAATATTTGCTCCAGAGATCAAAACTCGGGACATACACCCCATAAGCCTCTTTCCTGCAACTCTGGAAGTGACTATATGAAGATAAAAACTTTTAAGGTCTTGACTAGTATAGGTATGAAGTTAAGTTTTGGACTGAAGTATATATACTGTGCATCTATATGTAAATCCAGATCCAAATTAAGCAAGAGAAGGTCAATGTTGCAATTTGTGTTGTACCTTGACCAAAGATACTGTGATATGACCCGAATTTTTTTTATAGGGTCAAGGTAAAATCCGTTTTAAGCTCACCTGAGCCGAAGGCTCAAGTGAGCTTTTCTGATCACATTTTGTCCGCCGTCCGTCCGTCTGTCTGTCCGTCTGTAAACTTTTCACATTTTCGACTTCTTCTCAAGAACCACTGGGCCAATTTTGACCAAACTTGGTACAAAGCATCCTTGGATGAAGGGAAATTTAAATTGTTAAAATGAAGGGCCAAGTCCCCTCACAAGGGGAGATAATCAAGAAAAGACAAAAATAGGTTGGGGTCATTAAAAAATCTTCTTCTCAAGAACCACTGGGCCAGAAAAGCTGAAACTTATGTAGAAGCATCCTGGGGAAGTGCAGATTCTAAATTGTTCAAATCATGATCCCCGGGGGTAGGGCGAGGCCACAATGGGGAATCAAAGTTTTACATAGAAATATACAGGAAAAATCTTTGAAAATCTTCTTCTCAAGAACCACTGGGCCAGAAAAGCTGAAACTTATGTGGAAGCATCCTGGGGTAGTGTAGATTCTGAATTATTCAAATCATGACCCCCGGGGATTGGACGGGGCCACAATGGGGAGTCAAAGTTTTACATAGAAATGTATAGGAAAAATCTGTGAAAATCTTCCTCTCAAGAACCACTGGGCCAGAAAAGCTGAAACTTAAGTGGAAGCATCCTGTACTGGTAGTGTAGAATTCAAATTGTCTATATTATGATCAAAAGGGTACGGTGGGTTCACAGTATGTATTACAAGGGGGAAATCTGGTAAAGAACAGAATGGCCAAAGCTTCTCAGGTGAGCGTTGTGGCCCATGGGCCTCTTGTTGATACAACTTAGCATCACTTAGACCATTTTTGCTTCACATACATAGCGTCTTATTTCAAGCATGAATAAAAAATTAACTAGTACAGCTTCTGAAGGACCCTAAATATCAGAGGTATCACATTTAGATATCAGGTCTGTTTTATAATAAACTTTCTGTTCAGGTAATTGCTGCTGCGGATCCAAAAGAATACCAGCGGAGGGAAGTACAGAATTTATGTGACATCCCGGACGACATGGTTTTTCAAGGTATCAGATCAAGATAATATCAATCGGTTGACATAAGGCCATAGCATGTGCAGTCTTCATCAATTCTCAGTAATACCTTTAATTAGGTAAATTGGTAGGTACGAGGAAGTTAATTTCAAATTGAATAAAATGAAACCACGAGGAAATTAAAAAAAATATCAAATTTATTTGGCAAAACCCCAGTAACCTGTGTTAACCTTGTGCCTGATGAAATAGTGTCTTTTTTTTCTTCCAAAAAGCAGTACATTGAAATGTAGTATGGCGGTATCTTTATCGTCACATCATTAAAGGGACATAGAAAAAAATTGAAGTTTATATTTTCTCAAATTTTCTGTATATTTAAACAATGAAATGCTTTCCTTGTTTGTTAGAAGGGAAATAAATTTCGAAACTGTCGTAGAAAAAATACATAGAAGACGTAATTAAGAGGGTAAAGTAATTTTTCTGCAATTAACCTGCGACGTAATAATAAAGAAAGATTTATATTTACATCTGTATATAAAAAAAAACATCCAATATTGCATTTCACACGAAAAAATAATTAAAAAACAGTTTTACCGGGAAATTATTGGAAACTACGAATTTCGGGACGCGTTTGATTGACACATTCTTGCATTCTCACAAAGTAATCCTTAATACTTTAGAAATTTTGTTGTGCATTAATGAAAAATATTAAAACTATAATCCAAAAAAAATTCAAAGAAGATCAAAGAAGATCAATTCAACAGTATTGTCAGTCTGTACTCAGTAACTGAAACATCCGGTGAAACACAAACATATAACAATGACAAAACTCATGCCCTGTATACAAGTACAATTTACGTTTCAGCCTGGTGTATTGATCTTGTCTATGCCCCTTTAAAGCAACACATGACTCCAAAATAGATATACGACATTTTCGATTTTACTATGCACGTATATCTATAATATTAGTACCGGGGAATACTTATCGAATTAGTTATGCCTGATTGCTTTATTGTCACGGGTATCGGCGTACAATGACGACAGTGGTCGTGCTAGTTATCTTCCATTACTTTTGTTTATATTTTATCACAAATTGTCTTTGTTTGTACACTGCATCGACCTTTGCAACTGTTGCAAGTCTTTTTGGTATCTTACTTTTCTTAATTAGAAAAAAAACAAAACAAAAAGTTATTTTTTGCCGCCACCGTGTGCTGTATAGCATACGTCCGTCCACGTCGGTGAAAATTGATTACACTGAACTGCTACTAAGTGAGCGTCTCTATTTAGAGGGGCCCTCAAATATAGCGAGAGACTATTCGAATATGGTGAATAATTTTTTTTACGAATAGTGTTCAGCTAAAAGCACTACAAAATAAATTAAAAGTCATGTCGGAAATATATGTAATGGCTTTTTTTCTCTGTTTTGAGTGCAATGAAGTGGAATTGTGTTATACTATTGTGTACCTCTTTACGCTGCTACAATTTAATAAGTGATGTAAGCGCGAGTGAAATACAACGTCTACTCTTATGAAAAAAAATAAACTTAATGTTTCTACTTTTGTTTAAATGAATGTTTCACACCATGTAAGTTCTTTTTTGTAAGAAACTTAAGATAATAGATCAACAGTTAACTCTCGGTTATTACACCGAAGATGACATATTGCATGACACAGTATAATATTCTATTAGACTGGCGGGAGATAGCTGGGAGAGATAAGTTTGCGGATTGTGTGATCATTTGTACTCAGGATCAGCAACACAAGGTACATAGCAACATCAGCAATAATTTAGATATCAATTATCCAATAAAGTTGAATTAAGAACTGTCATTTAAGGTTGAAATTGAAATTTAATTCCTCATGTCTTATAAATCATTTCAATTGACTGTAAAATTCACTTTTTTAGGACCCGGCTATTGCCTTCGCAAAGAAGGGATACCACATTTTACTGGAAAAACCTATGGCAGTAAGTCATACAGTTAAAGATGATTTTACTTACTACTTGATCTAAAAAAATAAATTCTTATGAATAATTATGTAGAAAAAAAAGCCCAAAAGATCGAGGATAATAAATGGTTATCATCTATTATAAATAGAAATTGTGCGATAGCTTACATTTTTCTAAAAGGATAAACATGTCTTATTTTGTGGATGTTTTTGAACCCAGACCACAGAGGAAGACTGTAGGGAGATTGTTCGCGTTTGTAACGAAAACAACGTCTTCTTAACGGTGTGTCATGTCCTCCGCTACACACCCTGGGTGAAAAAAATCAAAGAACTGATAGACAGAGGAGCCATAGGGGACGTGGTGAATATTCAACACCTGGAACCAGTATGTATCATGACTTAAGCCTGATGTCAAATTACCGTTAATGATTTAAAACCAATTACACCCAACCATTTAATTGTTTGCTTCAGCATTTTCTACATCTGAAAATATATAAGTCAGTAAGAGGAGCACATCTGTTTGAAGGACATTCCGAATTCCTTCTGTTCTTACACGTTATACAAAAGAGTTTGCGAACTGTGAGCTGCTGCATTATGTCGAGATAATCACGAATATAAAAGACAGGCATTTCTTGTGTAGTTCTTATAAAGAGCTTAAAAAAAAGAAAACAGACAAAAACAAATCAACACAACATTGCATTAGACTAGACAAGGTTCAAATTCTTAATTTCAGGTTGGTTATTGGCATTTTGCCCATTCTTCTGTCAGAAGCAACTAGTATAAAGAATCGGAAAGTTCATTTTCTCATCTGGCAACGTTTTGTCATGACTTTGATCTAATATGTCATTCTGTCGCCTCATTATAGCCCCGCTTGTATTGTATTGTATCTCGAATGCCATGTCTGTCCGTCTGGGGTACTTCGGGGTACTCATCTCTTAAAGACAATTCCTCCTGTACCACTGAATGAAATGTTATAAGACTTTCACAGATTCTTTGTTACATAGGGCCATTCTGCACCTTCTATTTTACGTTTTGATCGGACACATATCATAATTGATGTTTTTATTGTTACAGGTAGGGTACTGGCATTTTGCCCATTCCTATGTGAGAGGAAACTGGCATAAAGAGAATGAGAGCTCACCTTCTCTATTAGCAAAGTGTTGCCATGACATTGACCTTTTGTGTCATTGGATGGGAGATAAAAAATGTCAAAGGGTGTCCTCGTTTGGACATTTGAGTCATTTTAACAAGCAGAATAAAGTAAGTTTAAAATTGGTAATTTTAGCAGATTTGTTGAGAATGTGTGAAAACTAATATTTTCCAAATAAACAACCTCAGCTTTTGAAATCATGCTCTACACTAATATTAAAGGCTTACTGTTATTGTCGTGATTGTTGCAGCCGAAGAATGCAGCTAGTCGTTGCCTTGACTGTCCTAAAGATGTACAAAGACAATGTCCTTACTCAGCAGTAAAGATTTACATCGAAAACGGAGTAAAATCTGTACGTCATTCTTTTGCGAGGGGCATTTCAAAAGTTCTGGCAACTGTTTGATAAAAAATTAACCGTTTCACGGAAATTAATGAGTCTCTGATATCATTGGAAAGATCAGAAAGATATACATATATATTGTGATGTCACAATATAAGTTTTAAGATGTAATGACTTCAGAATATAGAATGTTTAGCATACTGAAAAGTCGCTTTTTTATCCACATGAGACGATCGTAAAAGTGCTACCAAAGGCTTATTTGAAAAAAATATTTCAAAGAAAATTTTAATCTGCAAAGAAGTAGAGTAGGACTATGGTACTGTTTATCAGCAATTTCATTTTTCATTGTATTGTTAGTTTACTAGCATAGTTTTTGTCCGATTATGCTATCATCAACATTCATTTACGATTTTTATTTACATGATACGACTGGATTTTGGGTCTTTTATATAGCTCTCCATTGTTTGAAATAAAACATGTTGTGTATTACACTGAAGGATATTAGTAAACGCCTATTTTTCTTTTTCTGTCGATTTTGTCTTTTTCTCACAGTTAGGTCTTTTTTACGCAATATTTTGAGCGAGATTCGATAAAAACATGCAAAACTGGACTCTCGCTTAAACCATTTGAGAACAAGAAGATCTCTGAAATAGAACACCATATGATAGACTGTAGTCTATGTAAACATTCCACCAACTTGCATTTGCTTCCGTTAGCTTGCTTCCAAGTAATGAGCAAAAGTTGTCTTTAGAATTTTAATTTGATCGAATTGTGTCCTTTGTTACGTCATATTTATGGTCACTATTCTAAACATGTGGAAGTCTGACGTCATTTTCGGAGTTATTACGTCATAAAAATTATAAAGTGACATCACAATATCTGTATATTTCTTTTTATCTTTCCAATGATTTCAAACTCAATAATTTCCGTGAAACGGTTAATTTTTTATCAAACAGTTGCCAGAACTTTTGAAATGCCCTTCGTACAATCATTTATTAATTGAATACATTTCATTCTTTTCATTATTTAAAACATGACCATCTTTTTCAAAGAGTATCGTAATTTTTAGTTTAATAGAGGCTGGCCTGTGGCTGTGCTGACCTCCGAACCTCCTGATATAGAAAACATCACAGAGGCCTTAAGGACGGGACCGTATGGACGCTGTGTCTATGACATGGATAATGACGTAATGTCACAGCAGGTACCAAACACAGATTGATCAAAGTTCTATTTTAGCCTTTCTCCATGTTTTAGGAAAACATTATGTATATGTCATGTATGATAAAAACAAAGCAATGAATGCATGGCTCTCTATAATTTTAGATGTTTTGTAAAATGTAGAGAAAACAATAGTATTTAAGCTCAAAGTTGATTTAAATAATGCAAATCTGGCAATCAAAAACCTCTGAAGACATTAGAAGTGGGATCAGGTGCCATGCAGGCGTAAGCATCCCCTGTTAACTGTTACTCTCGCCTTGTGCTAGTAAACGGAAAATCTCTAAAATTTTGGTATATAAATAATGGATGAACAATTACTATGTGAAAGTCAATCAGTATTTGAGCTGATAAAATCATTGCACATGTATCGACCATAGAACTTGCAAAATGATACATACAAGTGAGGATGTTGATTTATTGCTTTTGTTTGATAATCAATTTGTTAACAGTTTGTCTCGTCGACTGCATTGGTTGTTTGTTCTTGTTGAACGCGAGTCGGCAATATTTTAGCCATATTTAGACGACAATTGCATGGGAACATAAACCAAAAGAAGTTGATTGGTATATTGCTACATAAGTAATTTAAAAATGGACAACAGAAAAGTTGCAGTTATTACGTTTATCACAAGGTTTTATTTTGGGTTCCCATTAACGTTTTTTTTCTAGTAAAATGTACAAATAAGAAACAGATTTACCAGACTCTGTGGTATCTTTTATTTCAAGTTCACTGAGATAGTCGGCATATGAATGGAAGTAACTTTTGTTAATTGATAAAATGTCGTTAGTAAATCTAAATGTCGAGTTGAAGGCTACAGCTTGATTTATAAATGATGACACAAGCTTGGTGATAATAAAAACTTTTGACAACATTCACTTCAACTGATATAATAATTTTCTCCACAAAACTTTTTTCAGACAAAAATGACCATTCTCAGTTAGTTCTGCTAACAATTACTTTCACTTTACATTTATTGTTTTTTCACTTGATTATTTGATACTTAGGGAACAAAATAAGTTCGTTAGAAGCCTATAAATGAAGGACAACAAGCTAATTCAGAGAGTATGTCATCTGCGGAATAGAAAAAGAAGAGAATGTGCTGACCCAGGAGGGGGTCGGGGAGGGGGCACTTAAAGAATTGCGGGAGGGGATAAGATATAGGTGTAAAATTTAATTGAAATTCTCAAAAACTTATTTAGAAATCGCCCAGAAATAAAAGTTTTACACACATGCACAGAATGTATGAATTTATGACCATAAAATCAATAGGGATCTTTCTTAGGCCATAGGGAGCTATTGTGTAAAATTTCATTGCAAGAAAGTTTAAGGGCTTCTTGATATATCGCGTGGAAACAGACAGACAGAACTAGATACGTACAGACAGACTGACGGACAGACCAATATTAGTATCCCCCACGTTCAGTGGTGACAAATAGTTTACCAAGTGAAAATGATTGTTCATGTCTGTTATGTTTTAGGTGGTTAATATGCAGTTTTCTGGCGGAGCCACGGCTTCAATGTCAATGATTGGATTTACAGAATCTGTTTGTTGTAGGGAAGTTAATGTGTTTGGAACAAAAGTAAGATTTCTTTCTTTTTAAGGATTTTGTTGTTTTCCAAATTGAATACATAACTAGTCCCCTAGCTTTCTTGAACAACGTCAATTTATTTATATAAGTGTAGAAATTGCTTTTTAGGGCGAGATAAGGTACCGAGATGGACGATCGGAGATTTTACAAGTTGATTTTGTTTCTGGACGAAGATGTAAGTAATCAAACCAGTACACATTATTTATCATCAAATTAATGCTGATTCTTCGAGGTCTCTAACTTTTTGACTATATGAATGTTTTCACGGAAACTAAAGATTCTAATCAAGCAAGAAAATGATCCTACAATGTACTTATCTTATTAAGCCGCAAAAATACATTGATGCCCGACCTTTTTTCTCTCTTTGAAAACTAGTATTCTTTAAAAAATTTTCTACAGTAGTAAACGTAACATTTTGTAATTGATGAACGATTTCCTGTTGTCCACAGACCACCATGAACTGGAATCTGAACATTCTGGACCCCTGAGTGGACATGGGGGAGGCGACTACTGTCTAATGGAACACTTTCTGCACGCAATTCATGTAAGTTAACATTACTTTGAAATCTCACATTTATTGTTTCAAAGACAGACGAAAGACAGAATATCAGCAATCTGGTTTAAGGGGGTCGACTATAGTTTCCATTGCGCAATATTTCGCGCATCATAGTAAAATGAAGCGTATTCACGGTTTTAATGCAACTTTTTTCGCTTAATTATTATAATTAAACAAAATTAAGAAATTATAGGTATAAAAATGTAATTACAATTTGATATTACTGATTTTTTAACCGATTTTGCAATTGATAGGTAGGTTGACGTCGTTGCAGTGTGATTTTGACGTAATGATAATCTGTAGCTCTTAAAGAAAGGGGTAATAAAAATATTTTTAAAGAAAAAGCGATAAACATACGCTCTTGAAATTTAAAACATAGAAATTTGAGAATATCTCCAATATTTTTATTATGTTTTCATGTGAATCCATTGTGTGCGTCATATTTTGTAATACTCTATAAAAATAGTAAAATTTGCTAATTTTTTGCATTTTGAGATGCCCCCACTGGTAACAAGATGGTAGAATTTTGTGTTTCTTACATATATTGTATAATGTAGTGTTACTTATCAAACAAAATGTCTATTGTAGTATTTGTATAATTAGCTTTAAAGTGCTAAAAATTGGCATTTTCCTATATAATCCAACAGTAAATATACCTGTATTTTGATACGGTCCCTCAAAAATACCTGGACGGTAGATTTCCCCCAAACTTTGCATGTACACTGAAATTAATGTAAGTTATATATGGTATAAAAATTAAGAGTTTAGCTATTGTAGTTTTCACACAATAAAACTATAGTCGGCCCCCTTAAAGTCATCATTTCATAAGTTCTGTGGTCGATACAATGACCTTGTCAGCAAAAACAATTTTATTATTAAGTCAAATACTGACTGACGTTTTTCACACTAATTGTTAGGCAATTATTTACACAATGAGTTGTCAGCAGATTTTCCTGTTATTACCCGATCATTACAAGGAGCACACGGCGGGTGTGACCGGTCGGCTGGGGATGCTTACTCCTCCATGGCACCTGTTCCCACCTCTGATTTTTGGAGGTCTGTGTTTGCTCTGTTCCTATTTTGTATTGTTAAATGGACTTTTGAGCTTGAATACAATTTATTATCTCCATATTTATTTGATACAAAAAAAAAAAAAAATGAATGATTGGATTTCTATTCTTGGGCTAATTTTGATGTAAATGATGCGTTTAATCCTTTGATGGTCGAAATTCTTAACCTATTTATCCATAAATTGTTTTATCTATTTAAATTCCATTATTTTGAGACTGTATAAAATATGAAAATTAAAAATCTTTTCGGCTAAAAACATATACGAGGGTTGTCCCAAATGGTCGAAGATAGGGACGATAACTCATTTCCACTTTAAATTAAATAAATTTCTCTTCTTTTCATAGTAAAAAAACAACATTTTAGGATCATGAATTCCAAGTTTCATGATACATGATTACTTAGCAAACCACTCTAGACTTAGATCTCATTAGAATTTACCGCTGTAAATTGTTTTTTTTTTCAAATGCAAATTTTATTTCCCCCACCCCCACCCCCAAAAAAATCAAAGCAGAGAATACAAAAAGGTTGAATTCGACCTTGACCAAATACATTCCTCGTCGTCTGGATTTAACCAGTCTATTCTCTGTTTCTGATTACACATTTGTGAAAATTTGACATTTGAGTAATATTTTGTTTCTTGTATGATTTATATGAATTTGAGTTTTATGTTTTACATATTACTAGAGAAAAAAGACATTTGGCATAAGTACCTACATAAATTATTATGAACTTTGTACGTGTACCAACAGACCACATCGACCTTCCTAATAAATCGGCATGATATATTAATAGGGATCGCCATTCCATACCCGTAACAATAAATCAGTCAGTTATCGGTCCTACTGGTGTACCGAATGTCTAGAGTATACCGCTGCTCATGCTGCTCATATCGTTTAATATTTACATCCACTGAATATTTTCTCCTTTATTTCTTCAGAAAACCCATTGCGTTAATCACTGCATGAACTACATTAGGCATATCGCCTGTTCAGATTTCATGATCAGTGGCTGTTTCATCAATGAAACGTATAAAGACGTTCGCATCATAAATACAATAATAATTAATCATTTTAATCCTTGTTTAAATGATTATTTAAACAGATATAAATATAGACAATAAAATGTTTTTCTTTGTTTGTGATTACTGGAATTAACGGAAGCAGCTGTTGCAATAAAAAAATTCATAACCCGCGTTACATGTAGCGGGATATGTATTTTTTCTGCAACAGCTGCTTCCGTTAATTCCAGTAATAACAAACAAAGAAAGCATTTTATAGTTTAAGTAATATTGAAAATGGTGAGAAAGATTTATTTCAACGTTTTGACCTTTTCCTTCTACAGCATGAAGATTTTTCTGGGATTCAAACTGGTGCAGAAGAGACTCTGGCTAGCCATTTAGTGGTGTTTGCAGCAGAGAAAGCACGGAAGGAAAGCAGAGTTGTTACTATCAACGAAGACATGTCTTTTTCATGATTGCTACAGCAGGCCTCTGATAATAAAATTGTATCAAAATTAATTATTTCATTTAATTTCTTTTCTGTGATTTTTGATATATGTTATGTCTTGCTAGAAAACACATTAAACGTACTGAATATGCTGAGATACTCTGATGGACTTGATATATAGAGAACAGCAAGAAGGGTCGATTTTTTCGGACAATCAGCTGAAATGATTGACAAAAAATTGATCAAAATATATAACATCAGAGCATGTACTTTTTCAAAGCTTTATACAACCATTCACCACCATGCTACCTCAGTGACAGCTGCTTTTTCATTAAATTTACTAACTAGTATTTTGATTGATACTCAGTAATTGATTTGTTGGATGCAAAAACTTCTCGCATACAAATAAATAAATCTTATTTATCAAGTTGTTGAATATTTTTATATAATTTCCCGGAAAGTTTAAGTATAAGAAAGGACTTGAGGTAATTAGCATTTTATGTATTTTTACTTATATGTATAGAAAACAAGGCATTTAAGATGAGTTCATTTCTTTATTTTAATCTTACAAATATCTATACCTTTCATAAAAAACTGCAGTCCTTCTGACTTTATTAACGGTGCACACCTGTCCAAATAAATACACAATGCCGTACAATTCTCCGCTCAAATTCTATACCGAGATATACTTTACTACGTATGTATCAGGCACTTACGAGGGTTTCGATATGTATTGTGTATTGTACCACAGCCCGATATCGCCTTGCACGATTTCGTCGATATTTATACGCCTGGATAACTCTATTCAATACCTTGCCAACAGTATAAACACGAGCCTTCATCTACACATGGTTATAAAATAATCGGCATTTCAATAGAGCCAGTCCTTGACCACTGTTGTAAAAATGGTTGGGAAAAGGGTTGAGAATATTGAAGAAATTAGAGCTTATATAAAAGTTCGCACAAAACTCGTTAATTCGGTAATGCCTAGGTCACATTTCCCGGGCGGTAGCCGTAGACCGGTGGTAATCGGTAGTAATCCGTGGTGTTAACGATGCCCCAACATCGGTCCACATCGGCCTAGTAGTCCTTAAAGTATCAGTCACATTATCCAGCGATGTGCATACGATGGGCAACCAATGCGTTTTATGAGAAAATGGCGTGGTTGCCGGCCGGACTTACAAAGGCCCAGCGATGCATTGCTAATCATAAAACGATGTTCCAGGATAATCGGCCGATGTATATTACATCGCTCATACATTGGTAAACATCGTTCGTACATCGGTCCAGAACGGGCTAATGTTTGGTCGAACATCGACCGATGATCGGTCGTTATCTGGTGAACACCACTAAACTCCCCGATGACCTCAAGATTCAACGGATATTGGACAATGCTCGGCCATACATCAGCCGATCCTTGAAAGATGTGTTAATGATGGTTCGCCGATGAGGAGCGATGTGAGGCATCGTTGGAGACATCGCTGAATTTTAACTACGAATTATTTCCTACCGATGACCCCACCGATTCGCAAAAAAGACTCAGTCATCGTCCGATCACTAGTGGTGACCGGCCGGCAACCACGCCATTTTCATCAAAAACGCATCGGTTTCTAATCGTATACCCCATCGCTGGATAATGTGACTTATACTTAAAGCAGATTTTTACTGAATTGGGGGAAGTTTATGGGTCTGATAAGGTATCTTATGAGACAGTTCGTAGGTGGAGACAGAAATTTCTGACTGGCACAGAGTCCGTCAAAGATGCAGCAAAATTGGGTCGACCTGTGACTGTATCAGGCAAGACAAATGTCTCAAAAGTCAAGGAAATAATTGAAAGTGAAGGTACACGATTCGTGATATTGCCAAAGCTGTTGGCATATCGCTTTCTCGGGTGCATTTCATTTTGAAGCGTATTTTGAAAGTACGAAAGATTTCTGCCAGATGGATAGTATTGGATACCCCATATATTGAAAGATGACGAAAAAAAGGTACGAATACAAACCGCTAAGCGACTGCTAAAAATGTTTCCAAACTTCAATCAAAGACAATTTGCAAACATAGTTACTGGTGACGAAACATGGATTCACTATTTTGAACCAGTAAGAAAAGTTGGAAACAAATTATGGCTAACCAAAAACGATAGAAGGCCTGTAGTTGCCAAAAGGACAATGAGCACAAAGAAGGTCCTTTATTGCATATTCTTCTCTTGTGATGGTTTAGCCGTACAAATTCCGGTGAGTGTTACAGGTCGGTATTACTGAGATGTACTGAAAAAGCTCAAGAAATATTATCAGAAACGACGTCTTGTGTCGGGATTTAGGCATGTTCGCCTTCTTCATGATAATGCTCCATCACATACATCTGAGCTTGTGAAGCAATTTTTGAAGTCTGAGAAGGTTACCGTCTTGCCACACCCACCATACTCTCCGGATCTAGCACCATGCGACTTTTTCCTTTTTCCAAAATTTAAAAAGTTCTTATCTGGTCGTCGATACAAGTCCCGACAGGCCCTTGGCTCAGCCGTCAGTCAGTGCCTCAGAGGTATACCGTGACGCATTTCAGAAATGGATTCAGAGATTAAAATTGTGTATTTCAAATCACGGAGAATACTTTGAAGGGATGTAATGTCCATTTCACTATTTGAATCGAATGCTTTTGAGATATCGTACAATACACAATACATATCGAACAACCCTCGTATACTATTGAGTCAAAATGTTTTAATGAAACTTGTGTCTTTTTCAAAAAATTCTTCAGATACTACTATTTATACTCGTACTTTCCTTTGAATTCCATTGAAAAACATGGAACCTCTATTTAAGTGTATAGATGGGCGAAGTTTCATGGACTTGAAAACTCTCTTTTTACTTAAATATAAAATAAAATGAATAATATCCCACGGATATATTTTGTCAAACTTATTTTTTTTGTATTCATCATCAAGGACAGATAACCCTTCAAAAACTTTTTAGGTGCAAAATGATCAGCTTCCTACTTGCTATCAGTCTTGTGAATTTGGATCATTTCACTTTCATCGTTTTCTAGCAATATATATTTAATTAGTTTGAAATCAATTCAAAATTGTTCAAGATCCCTCCGTTATACATTGAATACCTTAAATAAAAAGCAGTAACTGTTCATATTTGGATATAAGGACCATATATGTACATTTGTTGAAAATAATCTGAATGTTAAGAAGAGAGGATCAATCATACTCTTTGTTATTTTTGTTATTTATTTAAATATCTTGGCTTGGTTTATATATACGACTGTATTTAGCAACCTGGACAATAACAATGTATTCTTGAGAAACTTTAAAGGTACCCTTAGATTTAAGAGGGATTAGTCGTGTTTTAAACAGGAATTTGCCTTACTATGCAAAATACGAAATTTCAAAAGTAAGTTAGAATATATCTTACATTATTCAAGAAAAAATTGTAGCAATCTCATTTAAGGTTTCGTCAAAGGTCAACATGTCTAAAAAATTATTTTTACAATAGCTCCAAAACTATGTGTGGTATAAAGTCAAAACCTTTACAGTTTATAAATACAATGTATATCATTGATTAATAGATAGAAAGTATCACTTGATAACAAATATTTTTAAAAAAATATTCTTTAAGAAAAATGTGTTAGAAAATGTGCATATTTAAAGAAAAATGCACCTGCTTAATTCTGTCTTTTTTGTGAAAACCATCATTGCAGAAATAATATATGTTTATCATTGAAGGGCAAGTTGGACGTGAATAGTCTCTGAACGGCTGTAATTGAAAGCATGACATGTATAAAGACAAGACCCCTATAGAATCCGCCATTTGCAATGTACTTTCACTTTCAAGTCTTAACATTTGGACAAAATAAACAGGGGAAACAACTTTCCAGAGGCTATCTAAGTCCAACTTGCCCTTCATTGATAAACATATTTTAATTCTGCAATAATGGTTTTCACTTAGAGCGTGGGATTATTTAGGTGTATTTTTTGAAAATATATGCATTTTTAAGAAGAATTTTTCTCAATTAATACTTTTTCCAAGTATTTTTTTTTTATCAAGTGATACTTTCTATCTATTAATCAATGAAAAATTTATAAACTGTAAAAGTTTTTTAACTTTATACCTCGCATAGTTTTGGGGCTATTGTAAAAATAAATTTTTGGACATGTTGACCTTTGTCGAAACCTTAAACTCAGTAATTCATGAATCTTATGGTCGTTATACTGAACTTGTACGTAAATATAACCTATCATTGGGTTGAAGTTTGGCTGACGTGTTTCTTACTAAATGTTCGGCCTTTGTTTTATACTAGATTTGACTATGAAATATACCCTTGATCAGTCCCTAGGGCCTACAGTGGGTGTGACCATTCAACAGGGAATGCTTAATTCTCTCCGACCCCGCCTTTAAAGTATTTAGGGATCCATGTTTCATTCCCTCTAAAACAAATTTGTATCGTTACTTAGATTTTTTCACTTTTCGTTATCTTAACATTTTACATTATGTATTTTTATGAGTCATACTGTGTTTTGAAAATTATAACTACAGTAGAGTAATAACCTTACAAAACTTGATGAACTTACAATTCATATGATTTACTTTATAACTGATTGCCACATCTAGATGACAGAAAAAAAAGAATTTTAGTTGTTTCTTTGGACCATTCAATTTTGTTAGCTTATAATACAATCTATGGATCTTGACAAAACGAAATGAGAATGGGATTGAGTTTACGTATACTGTGCTAGATTTAGTAAAACAGAAATTTTCATTCAGTACTTGACATTATTAAAAATATTGTATTTGTTGAAAAGATCATTGTGTCGACCAAAATAAAAAAACTTGCGAATTGGGGATTTTGATATTCTTGTTTCATCAACTTGTTTGTCCATAATTTGCCTCATTTGTAAATCATTTGTATGGAAGCCAGATTATTGCTTATCGAATCAGCTGAAAACATAAACCCCATATGTTGGTAATAATGGAATAATGCTACATAAGCAAGGGAAGGAAGTTCACGATGGAAAAGTTAAAGTCATAAATTTATGTGTTAGGTAAACATTAACGTCTATCACCA